AGCAGGCGTGTGTACATTTATGTTTACTCAGATAATCTTTACGTGTAAAACATTTCCCGCACTCCGAACACGGAAAAGGATGCTTGCCCATGTGACTTCTCTGGTGCCTATGAAGGTTTTCTTTCAATGTGAAACTTTTCCCACACGCTGAACAGGAAAAGGGATGCTCACCAGTGTGGCTTCTCTGATGAGCGAGTAGTTTGGCTTTCCTGGTAAAACACTTCCCGCACTCTGAACAAGAGAAAGGCAACTCGTCTTTGTGCCTTCTTTGGTGTCTAATAAGACTCCCTTTCTGAGTGAAAAGTTTCCCACACTCTGAGCATGAAAATGGACGTTCGCCCGTGTGAATTCTTAGATGTGACAGAAGTATGCTTTTCTCGGTGAAACATTTTTCGCACTCTGAACACGAATAAGGACGGTCTCCCGTGTGCATTCTCTGGTGCAACAGAAGTCTTTTTTTCCCAGGGAAACATTTCCCGCACTCTGAACATGGATAAGTATTCTCAGATTTGTGAGTTTTCTGGTGTGTAAGAAGTTCTTTTTTCTCAGTGAAGGATCTTCCACACTCTGAACATGTAAAGGTCACCCTGGTGTGAGATCTGAGATGAACAAGAAGTTCAGATCTTGTTTTGAAAGATGCCCCACATCCCAAACATGAGACTGGGTTCTCACTTGGATTAACCCTTCCATGACTCAAAGAAGACTCCCCGGGATTAGATGGGTCTGTTGATGTGTCTGCACTGTGAGAACCAAGCTGGATGTCTGAAGTAATAGCCTGTGATTGACCAGAAGATTCCTCAGGATTAGAGGCATCCATCGATGTAGACAAATGGTAAGGTGTGTGGAGATCGTGTGCATTGGGATCTCGTTCTGGTGAAGTCGGTCTTATTCCGCTATCTTTAGAGTCACATTCTGCAGATGATATCGGATTTCTCTCCGAGGTATTCCTGACATACCGACCAACTGTTGGTAAGCAATTTTTTTAATAAGCGTTAAAATTGTCAGAAATTAAGAAATTTTCTCAATAAATGTGTGTTCTTTTTTCAGTTTGTGGTTGGATTCCCCTGTCTGAGAAGGGCTTCACTGCTAAGGAACTGTCCCAGAGGAAACATTCACCTTACAAAATAGTCTAGTGACTTTCCTTTTGAGCCATCTGAAAGGGGCCTAACACTAAAATATTAATACAAAACCGATAAAGGATCAATGGAGATGGACCTTTCATATGGTGTCCAGTATCTCCTCCTCAATTGTTGGGAACATGATGTTATATTGAGGAATGGAGATGGACCTTCCATATGGTGTACAGTATCTCCTCCTCATTTGTTGGGAACATGACGTTATATTGAGGAACGGAGATGGACCTTTCATATGATGTCCAGTATCTCCTCCTCATTTGTTGGGAACATGACGTTATATTGAGGAATGGAGATGGATCTTCTATATGGTGTACAGTATCTCCTCCTCATTTGTTGGGAACATGACGTTATATTGAGGAATGGAGATGGACCTTTCATATGGTGTCCAGTATCTCCTCCTCAATTGTTGGGAACATGACGTTATATTGAGGAATGGAGATGGACCTTTCATATGGTGTCCAGTATCTCCTCCTCAATTGTTGGGAACATGACGTTATATTGAGGAATGGAGATGGACCTTTCAAATGGTTTACAGTTTCTACACCTCTTAATAGATGCGCGGTATTGTACTACACTATCCTCTCCATTGCTTTGGGTGAGATGGCTGTTATGTACTCACTCAATGCCTTTAAGCAGATCCTAGAATCCAGAGAGCTACTACGCTGGCTGCTTCAGCCTTGGCTTGAAGTCTACAGTTAGGCCTAGCTGAGACTATGGCTGAGTGGTTCCCTGGAGCCTTCCCCCTCTCTTGCTCTTTCTCTTCCTTCTGTTTTCATTTTTCCCTAGAGCCCCCGGCACAGGGGTCCTTCCCAGGCTTCTGAATATTTTTGGGCTACTTCCCCACCTTCTGGGCCCGCATTCCCAGGGATTAATAAAAGCTCCATGAATATTCACGCTGCAACCTCTGCCCATCTGCCCACTATGTCCTGGAAACATCCCATGAGTTCCAGAAGACAGGAGAAGGTAACAAGTTCACATCCTGTTAAGCTCTGCACAGCCTACTTAATCAATTTACCGCTACTCCTCTGACTATAGAGAAGCCAACTAAATTTACCTGCCAAACTAGAAAACTAGGCGGGTGCTATAAGTGTGCTACTTACTTGTGTCCATACATAGAGAAGATTCCTCCTCTTTATTTTTCATAATCATCTCCCCCTCCTCCACAGACTGCTGATCTCCACTCAATGTCCCTTCTTCTTCCTCTTTAACCTCAACTTTGATTTCTTTACGTTCTTCACCCTAAAACCCCAAAGATGGTGAAATAAAATATGAAAAAGTTACTGCAAATAAGAGATGTCACCTCATAGTTTAAAAGCTTCTGGACCGCCTGCTTGCACTTTCCTGCAGAGGAGCTGGCCCGTGCAGGCATGATGACGTCAATGGCTGCTTCTAGGTGTAGGGCGTGCACATGCGTGCTCCCCCACCAACACTCGCTGTGATTATACACTGCGGATGTCTGTCAGTAAGTCCTGGCCAGTGGTTCATGGCCAGAACCTGCTGATCAGCTGTGTCCAATGACAGCCCTGAGCCCTGTGTTGGAAATCAACACAGGGCTCTGTACAGAGGAAACAATCTCTCTGTTTCTCATCCTTGAAAGCAGGGATGAGAAACAAAGAAATCTCTTAGTAATAGCAGCACACTTTACATTACAAATAGTTAGGGACACATTTAACCCCTTGATCGTCCCAGATGTTAATCCCTTCCCAGCCAATGTCATTAGTACAGTGACAGTGTAAATTACTATCCCTGATCACTGTATTAGTGTCACTGGTGATGTCAGTGGCAGTTAGTGTCAGATTGCCCCGCCGCACTATGGCAGTCCCATTATAAGTCGCTGATCACCGCCATTAGTAGTATAAAAAAAAAAAAAAAATTTCAAGTATATATACTGTACCATAGTTTGTAGACGCTATATTCCAGTATCTATACCATAGTTTGTAGACGCTATAACTTTCAAGCAAACCAATCAATATACACTTATTGGGAGTTTTTTTTATTACCAAAGACTTGTAGCAGAATACATTTTTGGCCAAAATGTATGATGAAATTTGATTTTACCCTTTTTTTGTTTATTGGATATGTTTTGCAGAAAGTTAAAATTATTTCAAGTTTTTCACTTTTTTAAAATTTTTGGTCTTTTTTTCATTTAAATAGCAAAAAATAAAAACCCAGTGGTGATAAAATACCACCAGAAGAAAACTCTATTTGTAAGGAAAGAAAGGATACAAATTTTGTTTGGGTACAGTGTTGTATGACCGCGCAATTATCAGTTAAAGTAGCGTAGTGCCGGATAGCAAAAAAATAGCCTGGTCATGAAGGGGGTAAAACCTTCCGAAGCTCAAGTGGTTAAAATGATCTTCAGTTTCTACTGCTCAGTCCCATCTACCTGATCATGATGAGGGAGGTTGATATCTTCCTGTATGGAATCCCGGGAATCCAGAGGACCACCCTCTTCCAAAGACTGCTGATCTCCACTCACCAACGTCTCTTCTTCTTCCTCTTTAACTTCAACTTTGATGTCTTTACGTTCTTCACTCTAAACCCCAAAGATGACAGAATACAACTAAGGACCCCGACAGGTCTTAATATAAATAAATATAAAATTAGGCACCAAGGGGTGAACTTTAAGGACACTGCCCAATTGCCAAATTTGCTGTTAAGGGCTGTTTAACAGAAAGTGTTCCTTCCTTACAGCAGGATTCCCATACTGGGGTGTCAGCATCATCCAGCATTTATAATAAAAATATAGCCCCCTGGTTATTAAGCAGCCCCACTCGGGCTACACTGGATCCTAGCCTATTAGAATATAGTCTCTCATTCCAGAACATGATGGTGTTCACACGCTGCTCCTGCATCAACTGTATCTCCAGGTGATGGCCTGGTAAGTGCATACAGGTACATATCCCTAGTGTGTCCATGCACCAGCTACTCCCAAGCAGCACAATGGTCTCCTTAGGAGGGTGGAGCCCGGAATCTCAGTCAGCTTTCAAATTATAAGACCTGTGCCCGTTCCACTCTCGGCAGGTGCTGATCGCCATCAAAACATGGACTCAAGGTTGGAAGCTTCATCCCACCAAATACTCTACAAAGCCTCTAGGCTCCAGAAACCAGAACATGATTTGCCAGTTCTGGAGAAAACTGAAAGGTCAGTTTTCTCCTAGTAAAACATCTCAACTTGCATGGGTGAGAACCTTGGGTGCCACCAAACCCTTCTTACACCGTGACACAACACAGCCCTGTCACAATATCTATATAAACTTAATCCTTCTCTCATAGTCGTCAATGGATAATTGTGATCCTTATGCATCAAAAAGACTGTATGGTTTTTTTGGTTTTTTTTTGCTGAAAGTAGAATACTATTTTCATTCAATATATTTTAAAGGACCCTCCACTTAGGTGAAAATAAATACATTAGATCCACATGCAAAAGACTTTCCCCAAACTTTTACCATACTCCAGAATTGCCCTGTTCCTGGACATGTCCAGGGGGCACTGGTAGAATAATTAACACGTAGATCCTCTCTACACAGAAGAGAGGGGAGGAACAAGTAGCTCCTTACAATCCTTTTTATCTACCTGATCATGGCGACAAATGGTGTGATTCTCCTGTGTAGAATCCCAGGAATACAGAGGATGGGGACATCTCTCTGGTGGGTTTGTGCCACTGAATGGCTCCATCTTAACATCCTTGAAGGGATCTCTGTGTCCTTCTGAAAACTCCTCCATCACATCAACCTCGTCATCTTCCTTTTTTATCTGTTCTCTAACCTTATGTGAGATGGTGTGACCTTCCTGCATGGAATCCCGGGAATACAGAGGACGGGGACATCTCCCTGGTGGGTTCCCATGGCTGGATCCATCTACCTGATGATGGTGAGGGATGGTGTGACCTTCCTGTGTGGAATCCCGGGAATACAGAGGACGGGGACATCTCTCTGGTGGGTTCCCATGACTGGATCCATCTGTAGGAAACACACACACTGACTGAATCCATTGTTTCTATGTGTTTATCAGATGATGGGGGATCTAGGTGGACCCTCCGTACTGCTCTCTCCTTTACAATAAAGTCTCCTCTTACCCGGTGATGTGAGGGGCGGCTGATTGTCCATCATGACGTCCTTGTAGAGGTCCTTGTGTCCTTCTAAACACTCCCACTCCTCCATGGAGAAATAGACAGTGACATCCTCACACCTTATAGGAACCTGACACACACAACGATACAGTCACCATCCAGACATATCCCTTGTCTGTTACTGGAGAATGTCCCAGAATTCCCGGCACCGCTCACCTCTCCTGTTAATGATCTTCTGGGTGACTTCTAAAATCTTTTTGTCATTGGGTTTCAGGCAGTGAGGTGGAGGAACTGTGATGGTTAAATTGTCATCAGACTTCACCAGAGGAAAACTCTGTTTTGACAGAGAAACAATGATGTCACGTGATCTCCCAGAATCCTCCTCACCTCTCAGGTCAGGTCTGTGTGTTACTAATAGAGATAAGAATGATGTCATGTAACCTCCCAGAATCCTCCTCACCTCTCCGGTCAGGTCTGTGTTTTAATAATAGAGATGAGTGATGTCATGTGACCTCCCAGAATCCTCCTCACCTCTCCAGTCAGGTCTGTGTTTTATTAATAGAGATAAGAGTGATGTCATGTAACCTCCCAGAATCCTCCTCGCCTCTCTGGTCAGGTCTGTGTTTTATTAATAGAGATAAGAGGGACGTCACGTGACCTCCCAGAATCCTCCTCACCTCTCCAGTCAGGTCTGTGTTTTATTAATAGAGATAAGAATGACATCACGTGACCTCCCAGAATCCTCCTCACCTCTCCGGTCAGGTCTGTGTTTTATTAATAAAGATAAGAGTGATGTGATGTGACCTCCCATAATTCTCCTCACCTCTCCAGTCAGGTCTGTGATTTATTAATAGAGAGCAGTGCATTGACACTGCTGGTCAGGGAATTAGATGGATAGTGGGAAAATAATTAGTGAGCATGTGAGTGGGATGAATTGACAGTGAAGAGACGTGTTGTGAAGTAGCTGGGGAAAGACGTGTTCTGAATTGGGAGCAAGGTGGTCGGACAGAGTTGTATTATGAAGAAGGTTGGGGGGTTAGAGGGATGATCTGTGACTGGGGAAGGACACATTGTTAATGAGGGGTGAGGTGGATATGAGGGACCTGGTTCTGGCCCACTTACTGATCCCAGTCCTCATCTCATGTATTTGAGCAATGAGACTCACCATTCCCACGCATCATCACTCCGATGATCACATTTCACATCTTCCAAGCTGGAGCCATGATGATCCGAGGTCTTCAAAGAGGAACCTGGTCCTGGCCTGCTTACTGATCCCTGTACTCATCTTATGTATTTGAGCAATGGGACTTACCATCCCCACCCACCATCGTTCCGATGGTCACAGTACCTGTTCGGCATATTTGGAGAAGTCTCTGTTTCAGACTTTCCTTGCGGCACTCCATGGTGGTTATTTTACATTTCCGAGTAAGACCTCCCAACATCTTCCAGGCTGGAGCCATGATGATCCGAGGTCTTCAAAGAGCAACCTGGTCCTGGCCTGCTTACTGATGCTTGTACTCATCTTATGTATTGGAGCAATGGGCCTTACCATCCCCACCCACCATCGTTGGATTAGTCTTTGTTCCAGACTTTCCTTGCGGCACTCTGCAGGGGCCATATAACATTTCACATCTCCAGATATGGGAAGTATGGGATTGAAGACCATCCTACATCTGCCTACTGGGAGCTGTAATCATCTGAGGTCTGAATGGAGCTGGAGCGGAGACGATTGCTTACAGTGATGGCCAAGTAGAGGAATATTTTCTGTGCTGGAGATGGTGGCAAAAATGGAACCAAGATGCAGTGATACATCTGCCTGTGTTTTCATATCTGTCTGAGGATTTGTTTTAATAACTATACAAAGTATATACGTGAAGGTAACAGCATCTGCTGGAGATAAAATAGATGGAGGAAGAGGATGGACATGACGATGGAGGAAGATAACGGACATGACAGGGGGTTACTGGGTGTAAATAGAAAATATTGCTCATTACCTCCTCTGCTGCCAGTTCTAGCAATGTCTCCTTTCTACTTCCTCCCAACTCACCTCTCACCCCAAACTTCCTTTCTATACCATTTTTTAGTGCCCTGTTCTTATCTTACATCACTTCCTGTCTGTGCAGTCCATTCACAATAAGTGACATTGCCATCTAGTTGTGATTCGATAACTGCATTCTACGTTACACTGCATTTAATTTCTTATCTCTCTACTGCCCCCTTCTCTTTTATGTTGTATGTATTAAAAATAAAAACAATTACAAATCAGTTAAAACTAAATCAATGAATGAATGAAAAAAATAAAAAAAACATTAATTTGATCTTTTTGGAGCCCTCGTTCCATGACTCAATATACCTGTGTATGACATGATACAACCTTTCCCATACATTTTTAACATTGTTATTAATATAATCAATAATGCAGATCTACAGTTGTGGCCAAAATTATTCAACCCCCACTGAAATTGAGTGTTTTGGCCAGTTTGACATTGCTTTTGATCATTCAGTCATCTTGCTTACATTTACATTAAAGAGGCACTTGTAGGTCAGACAAATATAACATAACAGTTATAATGAAATAACCACAAATGTCTTTTCTGTGCTCACAGCATTATCAGTTTTATTCAACCCCCAAGTGACATTCAATCTTAGTACTTAGTACAGCATCCTTTTACAGTTATAACAGCTTTTAAACGTGAAGCATAGCTTGACACAAGTGTCTTGCAGCGATCTACGGGTATCTTCGCCCATTCTTCATGGGCAAAGGCCTCCAGTTCAGTCACATTCTTAGGCTTGCGCACTGCAACTGCTTTCTTTAAGTCCCACCAGAGGTTCTCAATCGGATTTAAGTCTGGTGACTGCGATGGCCACTCCAAAATGTTCCAGCCTTTCCTCTGCAACCATGCTCTAGTGGACTTGGAGGTATGCTTGGGATCATTGTCCTGTTGAAAGGTCCAACGTCTCCCAAGCCTCAGGTGTGTGACGGACTGCATCACGTTTCCATCCAATATCTCCTGGTACTGAAGAGAATTCATGGTACCTTGCACACGCTGAAGCTTCCCTGTACCTGCAGAAGCAAAACAGCCCCAAAGCATGATTGACCCTCCACCATGCTTCACAGTAGGCAAGGTGTTCTTTTCATCATAGGCCTTGTTCTTCCTCCTCCAAACATAGCGTTGATCCATGGGCCCAAACAGTTCTAATTTTGTTTCATCAGTCCACAGAACACTATCCCACAACTTTTGTGGTTTGTCCACATGGCTTTTGGCATACTGCAGTCGACTCTTCTTATTCTTTGGAGACAGCAAGGGGGTACGCCTGGGAGTTCTGGCACGGAGGCCTTCATTACGCAGTGTGCGTCTTATTGTCTGGGCTGAAACTTCTGTACCCACATCTGACAAATCTTTTCTCAGTTCCTCAGCAGTCACACGGGGACTTCTCTCCACTCTACGCTTCAGGTAGCGCACAGCAGTCGAAGTCAGCATCTTCTTTCTGCCACGACCAGGTAGCGTTTCAACAGTGCCCTTTGCCTTGAATTTGCGAATGATGCTTCCTAAGGTGTCTCTTGGTATGTTTAACATCTTTGCAATCTTCTTATAGCCATTGCCCTTCCTGTGAAGAGAAATCACCTCTTCTCTTGTCTTCCTGGACCATTCTCTTGCCTTCACCATGTTTGTAACCACACCAGTAAATGTCTAGAAGGAGCTGAGTATCACAGTCATTTTAAAGCTGCCTAATTGGTGCTTATTATGCTTGATTGCTGCTCGGTGACATCCACAGGTGTTTTCAATACCTGATGGAAAGCACCTGTATGAACCTCTGTTCTTCAGAGTGGTAGTCTTTAAGGGGTTGAATAATTGTGGCAATGAAGAAACCACATAAGAACCATTTACTACTGTATTACATAAACAATTGATGTCATTTTAGTTGCATTTGGGTAGTTACAACGTCCTTGTAGGATTTGATTCTGAATACAATTCCAAATGTACACTATAGTCCCTAAACCCCTTTACAGCATTGGGGGTTGAATAATTTTGGACACAACTGTACATATCTGTATATACACTAAATTTCCAAAAGTATTGGTCTCCTGCCTTTCCACGCACATGACCTGGCCTCCCAGTCTCAGTCCGTAGGGTTCAATATTGAGTTGGCCCCACCCTTTGCAGCTATAACAGCTTCAACTCTTCTGGGAAGGCCGTCCACAAGGTTTAGGAGGGTGTCTGGGGGAAGGTTGGACCATTCTTCCAGAAGCACATTTGTCAGGTCAGGCACTGATGTCAGGGGAGGAGGCCTGGCTCGCAGTCTTCGCTCTAATTCATCCCACAGGTGTTCTATGGGGTTGAGGTCAGGACTCTGTGCAGGCTAGTCAAGTTCCTCCACCCCAAACTGGCTCCTCCATGTCTTTATGGACCTTGCTTTGTGCACTGGTGCGCAGTCATGTTGGAACAGGAAGGGGCCATCCCCAAACTCTTCCCACAAAGTTGGGAGCATGAATTTGTCCAAAATGTCTTGGTATTCTGAAACCTTAAGAGTTCCCTTCCCTGGAACTAGGGGGCCAAGCCCAACCCTTGAAAAACAACCCCACACCATAATCCCCCCTCCACCAAACTTTACACTTGGCACAATGCAGTCAGCCAAGTACCATTCTCCTGAGAACCGCCAAACCCAGACACGTCCATTGGATTGCTAGAGAAGTGTGAATTGTCACTCCAGAGAACATGTCTCCACTGCTCTAGAGTCCAGTGGCAGCGTGCTTTACACAACGGCATCCGACACTTTGCATTGCACTTGGTGATGTAAGGCTTGGTTGCAGCTGCTCGGCCATGGAAACCCAATCCATGAAGCTCTCTACACACTGTTGTTGTGCTCATCTGAAGGCCACATCAAGTTTGGAGGTCTTTAGCTATTGACTCTGCAGACAGTTGGTGACTTCTGCGCACTGTGCACTTGAGCATGCACTGACCCCGCTTTGTCATGTGACGTGGCCTACCACTTGGTGGCTGAGTTGCTGTTGTTCCTGGTTGCTTCCACTTTCTTATAATCCCACTAACAGTT